TTGAAATTTTATTTTCCAGTTACAGCTTACATTCAGTATTATTTTGTATTAGTTTCAGGTTGGCATTTGAATTTTTATTCCAAACATTTATCTTTATGGTTTGGACAAACTTACAAATGCATATCTTTAAAAAATGTTTCTTCCCCTACTTAAATATCTATAAGTAATTGGTTTATTAATTATTGATTAGCATTAATTATGTCTGAAGAACTAAAGCATATGAAATAAAATGGCAGAAACTAGGTGGTTTTTTTCTGAAATGACTGTATAAGTCCATAGGGAAATTGGATTTCCTACAAATTATTTTATGTTAATTCTGCTTTCATAAATCTCTTGTTTAGACTCGCAAATGGTATTTCCAATCATTTCTCAGATCAATAGTGATCATCTTATCATGCATAAGTGATTTATATAGATACTTTACGTAAAATACTGCCTGTACATGGTATAGTACTTTATATATGTACCTGACTTTTACAGTTAATTCCATAAGATGCTTTCTCCTTTTCTTTCAGATGTTCTTAGCTTTTTAACCTAATACTTTTCTTTTTCTGCTTAAGGATCCCATTGAAGAAACCATATTACATTTAGTTGTCATATCTCCTTAGGCTATGACTATTTCTCAGACTTTCCTTCTTTTTGATGACCTGGACTGTTTTGCATCGGAATACATTGTTTTGTATCCTCTTTTACATTGTTTTCCAGAAAAAGAAGTAAGCACTAAAGGTTACTTTCTCTCCATACTGCAGATGAGTTTCTTTACCAACACAGATTAAACCCAAAGAAAAAGAATTTCTCATTTACGGAGGACAGCAATCATCACATAGTACACGTTAGTGCATTTTAGGCATAAGACTGTACCTCCATATGATTTGACTTCCAAGGTGTACAAGAAAGAAAAAATGGAGTAATTTTATCCACAGAAAGGCCAAACACCACTTATAATAACTTCTGCCCTGAGCAGATGTTTTCTGGCTGCATTGAGCCTCGAGCGAGAGGTTTATGCTGCTGTATGAGAGACGCTGATAGCACGAGGTGACTTTTGGGGTCTTTTCCAACGGAAGTTTTTTCTGGTTGCTATGATTTAGGTGGGGCCTGGCTGAGAGACAGGGGCAGACAGAGAAACCAGGTGACCTTCCTAGATTCTTTTTTTGTAGGTAGAATTTATTGGGATGACATTGGTTCACAAAACCATACAGGTTTCAAGTGTACAACTCAATAAAACACCACCTGCATGCTGCATCGTGCACCCATCGCCCCAAGCAAAGCCTCTTTCCATCCCCGTTTCCCCCCAGTTGCCCACCTCGCCCTAGCCCCACCCCCTTTCCCTCCGGCCATCAACACACTGTTGTCTGTGTCTGTGAGTTGGGCATATGTTTTTTGGTTAATCCCTTCACCCTCCCTAGGTTCTTGAGTACTTTCCCCTAATACCTCTCATGGTGTCAGACCTCCTCTGAGTAGAGTAGCCAGGCTTAGCAAACAGGAATAAGGACTCTCAGTTAAGTCTGAATTTCAGATAAACAATGAACATTTTTTTTAGTATAAGTATGTCCCATGCAATTTTGGGGACATGCTTATGCTCAAGATGCGTTGTTTATCGTAACATTCAATATCCTGTATTTTCTCTGGCAATTCTACTCTCCTTGGGTTCCCCTGGGGGGTGTGTGTATGTGGGGGGAGGAGGAGAATGGAAAAGGAGGAGAAGGGGGCCAGTCTCTAGCCTCAGACCACCACTCTCGGGGGAAGGGGGGTTATCTTACTGCGAACAACAAATGTGACATCTCCTGTTCTCAAAAGCTGTCTCCAGTCAGCATTTGAAGACACTGTGGGCCTCTTAGATCTCTGTAAAAACATTCACTTTGTCCTCTTTCTCTCTTCATTTTTGAACCAATACCCAATAAATCTGGATCATGTAAACATCATCCTTTAATACGTACAGACCCAGAAGAAAATCAAAAGCAATGGGATCAGACACAAGGGGCAGCAAAGCTGTATTTTCCCCACAGCCAGCTGGTTTTCTGTCTGTCCTCCCCCTGTGCCCCGCAGGCTCTGGACTTATGGACCAATCAGTGGTTCGTATAACAGCTCTTTCCTGCTCCTCCAAGCTAACTTCTGGTTTTCTCAGATGATGGAGAGAATAAGAACTGTATTATACTAAGATTCCTCATGCATTAGATAACTGAAAACTAAGTATTATTGTGGCAAATTAAGTGTAAACAATATTACATGCTTTGGCACAGTAAAAAATACATAGAAAGAATAATTTAAGAAATGAAAGAATTTGCAACTGATATAAGCATGCTTTTGGCCTCTAAGGAAATCAGCAAAAGTATATGCTTGATATATTTTTCAACTGGGTCAAAACCAGAGAGCATTAAAAAGCCTTCTCAAAATAGAGTTGACACACCATAATCTTTTAATGGCATAAATTTCCATTAGCATCAACTGCTGCATAAATAAGGTTCATTATAGTGATTAAAGATGTTAATTTCTTAGAGCTATCATAATTTCCTTTAATGTTCTATGGCAATATTTTGTAAACTCCAGGTTATGACCCATTAGTAGGTCATGAAATCAATTTAGTGGGATATAATCAGCATTAAAGAGAATAGAAAATATCCAATTTCATTACTTATAGTCAATGTAAACATTATTTCACGTACCTTAATTTCAGTTTTCTAAACACATATGTATAACTACTTGGTTATAATATAAAATATATTTCACATGATCAGTCATGAACAAAACAGTCAGAAAACAACAATTTACATTGCAATAGATAAATTCTAAGACCTATTTAAAGAAGCACAATTTTAAATCACATATCAATGAAAGAGGAAGAAAATATTTTCACAAGAAGATAGTATGATGGCTAATATGTTTTAACTTATAATTAGGTCACTTTCCCATATGCTATGTGTTTGGTTCAAGGTAATAAATATGGTGTTCCACTTCTTATTACCAATGGGATGGGACTGTCTTGGAGGTATACGTAAGCGAGGTCTGTGGGATCAGGCTGTCTGGCTTATCTTGGGCATGTTACTAAATTGTTCTGTGCCTCAGTTTCTTTATCTATAAAATGGGCCTTGTTATAAATTGGTCACCACACAGTTGTACAGATTAGGTGAATTTACAAATAGAATGCATCTAACACAGCGTTGGCCACTTAACAAGTCCTCGATAAGTGTTAGTTACCTGTTTTATTACATTTTCTTATTTTTATGTAAGAGTAGGAAATATCAGATAGTTACTTGCCTCACACTTTTACTTTTGTCTGATACATAGAGAAGGGGGCCCAGGGTATGCTTTGTGGTTCAGCCCACACATGGTCCCCTAATTCTTCTGCATGTATGTATTTTCTAGTTCATAGAAATAAAATGCTTAAGAGAAGAGGTTCTCAACCTGGGACACGTGGTATACTTCCCAGGATTGTGAACTGCCTGAAATGTGATGAGCATCTTGAATGAATGTGCATGTCTACATTTGGGAAGCAGATGGAGAAGATCAACAGCTTCTAGTGTCAAAGGAGTCATGTGGTATAGTGATGAGTTAGACATACTTGGAAGTCCAGGCTTATTAATTAGCATGGTGACCTTGAGCAAGTTACCTAACCTCTTGTAGCTCCACTTACCCCCATCTGTAAAATGGGAATTAAAATAGCTTCTACATGATGTAATTGTTGCAACAATTAATGTTTACAGTATTTGTAGAAAGCTTAGCACTTCGCATAGTGGCTGCCACATGATGGGTTCTCAAGAAAACAGTAGTGGAAGAAGAGCAGGTAGATGGGAAAATAGAATGCAGTGGTTGCTATTATGAGTTGTAATTTTGGAATCTTGAATCTATCACTGAATCATTAAGTAATCCATTCATCTCTTCAATTATTCAACAAAAACTGTTTTAATGTTGCCATGTATTATGGATTGTGTGAAGTGATGAGAAAGCAGCAATGGACAAGACACATTCTCTGCCCTCACAGAGCTTGTCATGGAGGGAGGTTGACAGACAGACAGACAGACAGACAGGCAGACAGGCAATGGCCAACCAGATGGAAAATGCTGCAGCAGGCAAACTGCGGGGCTCAGGAAGGATGTGGGAGAGTCTCTAACCCAGAACCACCTTCAGCAAAGTTTGTGGTTTTGCTTCATCTTCCAGTTTTCATTTCAGTGCTAAACAGAGGCAACTTCCTTTTGTTTATTTTGAGATTGAACATTATTATTCAAATGTAAAATACCCATTTAGGGACATTAAGGGCAGGACTTGGTCTGTGGAGCTTGGAGGACAATGCTCTTCCCTTGGATATGACTCCAAGAAAGAGGACATGTATCGAGACCTCTTTATAATATTGCGACTAGAAAACAGGACAAATGCCAACACCCTCCTATAAAGGAAAATCATCCATCCCAGGGCTCTTCTATTTCTACCTCAACTTGGAGGAAACTTAGAGTTAAATGTAATGCTCAAATATAACAAGTATAGTAGCCTATTTTTTTCTTTTTCTTTTTTGGTTTCTTTCTTTCACTCTAAATGGTTTAGATTTTTTGTTTTAATTTATTATGATATCATTATGTCTGTCTATCTATCTATCTATCTATCTATCTATCATCTATCTACTATCTATCTATCTACCATCTCTCTATCATCTATACCATATTAAGTGATTTTAAAACATAGACAGGGAAATAGTTATTAAATATCTTCAGTAACTCAGTGTCTTACATATTACAAGAGCCTTTTACTTTACGTAGTTTTCTGATTCAGTGGACATGACTGAATTGTAGTATACTTAAATTTTACGAAGTTGAGTGACTCTATAACAGCTCCATTACAGAAAAATATAATAGCAGTAACAGTGTCTTACAGGAGAGGTCCTTATGTTCTCCATAAATGGATGCGTCATGGTATCATTTGCAATGATATACACTATTAGGATACATTAGGTTGCTATATTAATTCATTTAAATTATTTTTGCACTTTCTGCACACAGAGACTCTCTTACCTTTGAGCAAAGCTGTCAGGATAGCTAAATCAATGTCCTGGTGTCCTTCTGATCCCATCCGAAAGACTGTAATCTGCAATTTGAGACGTGAACATTAGCAATGCATTTTTCCCCTCAAGAGAAATTAAATCAATGAGACCATATCTGAACACAGACCATTTTAATATCTTTAAGGCAGATTCTTAACCACAGGGAAAGCGCACATAGTAAGAATTCAATTAGAGGGCTGTGCAGTTCATTAAGAGGGAGACGCCTCGGTAGCTTCCTAACAGAGACCATCTAGAAAATTGCATTGATTTTGGTTACAGTGAGGAGAAACCAGGAATCAAGGAAAATGTCCTCTTCTAACATTTCAGTTGTAAGGTTAAAACTTGCCAGATTTACAGAAATGTGTAAACCATAATGTAAATAACGAGATGATAAATCTAGTGTTTAAAAATAGCTAGTTAGCATGCTCTTCAGTAAATGGCTCTGTTATGTGTATATATGTATGTGTGTGTATGTACGTGTGTGTGTGTGTACATGTGCAGCACAGCCATCCCTACATGTATTTCTCAGCAACAGTTACTCAAGGGTTTCAGTGCTGTGATGCCTCTAGATCCTTCAGTCCTCTCAATAACCTTCAAACCTCTTGAGAATAATTCAGCGGCACATCCAGGGGAGAGAGATATTCTCTGGGGAAGGAGTAATACATGTTGGATTAATATAAAATTCCAAAATAATGCTTAAGCACAATAAATTTTTTTTTCCAAGTCAGGAGAAGCTATTTATGGAAGCCAAAAGATTTAAAAAACCTCTACATTGAATTACTATTGTATTCAACTGCTCTGGGCTTTGAGTTTCCCTATCTGTAAATGGGAAAATAATAGTGCTTGCACCCTGGCCAGTTTAGCTCAGCGGTTAGAGTGTCGGCCTGCAGTCCAGAGAGACCTGGGTTCGGTTCCTGCTAAGGGCGCGTACCTCGGTTGCAGTTTGTCCCCGCCCTGGTTGGTCGTGTGGGTGGCAGCCACTAGATGCGTCCCTTTCACGTCGATGTTTCTCTCTCTCTTCCTCTCTCTCCCTCCCACTCTATCTGAATAAAAAAATGGAAAAATGTCCTTGGGTGAGGATAAAAATAAATAAATAAATAAATAAATAATAGTGCTTGCCTATTTCCAACTACATAGGAAGTAAACTTGATGAATTTGTTAATATATAATTCTGAGTTTTGCTACTATGATGGAGAGAATGGACACATCGAACCACAGACTGTTAAACTATCAGTTGCCTTAGACATTTTCTAGTCCACTACCCAGAGAAAAAGACCCAATGCTTAAGGTGGACAGCTAGTTAAAAGGACAGTTGTGGTTGGAAGTCAGTAGATCTCACCGTGCTCTCTTGTGCTCTAGGCACTGGGAAGAAGTGAGGGGAAGAAACAAGAACACACAAACACTTGTGAGTTGCCTAATTCTTTTTTATCAGTGTAGGTTCTGGGATGAGTATAAGGTGGAGCTTGCAAGATGAAATGTCTTCACAGACGCTTGAACTCAAAATGATAAAAAAATGTAGAGAGCCAGACAAAATCATCTATGTACTATGTTTGGCTCCTGGGTCACAGTTGTGACCTCTGGTCAGGACCATCAGGTGGAGGTATGCCCCAGCTCCCTTAGATTTCCACCGAAATCTGCTCTGGGTTACTATGTTTGGCTGAAGTGCCTTTGGGATATTGCCCCAAGTAGCTCTTGCTGCCCCTACAGAATCCACCTGGGAGATGAGAGGCAGCTTTTACCTGCTCTGCACTCATGAGAGGAACATTTGAGGTTCACTGGACGAAGAACCAGGGGTCAGAAGTAGAATTTGGGCCAACTCTTTTAAGCTGGGGATGGCTATAGTCTGAAAGACACTACTATATGCTAAGCTGTTAGCAGGCTGAGGAATCAGGATAACATCCGAGCTCACTGTTCAGAAGAATTCAGAAATTAAGCATGCGATGGAACTCCTTAAACATAACCTACCTGTTTGGCAGATGCCTAAATCTCACTGCCTAATTAGAGCTCACATTTCAGATGCAAATTCTTCTGAGGCAGCAAATACATAAATTACATCGACCCTAAACTATCAGATTATCAGGCTTTCCTAGAAACAGACTTGCGGACGGGGAAAGAAAGGTGCACAGTGCAGGCTTCCTGAAGGGTGTTGGGGTGGGGAGGTGGAGACGTGGGCATGCGTGCTGTGGTTTGTCACGGAGCCTGAATGGGATTGTGTGCCAGAACCTTGCAGTGTATTTTTGATAACTGATGGGAGGAAATGGCTGCCCACCTGTCCATATCCTCACCTTTATGTGCTTAGATCGAAGAACCCCAGGACTCAAGAAAGAGGGAAAGGAAGCACCCCCCCAAAAGGCTGGAGGATCCCAAGATAAAATTTATTTCATAATTTTGCCTTGACTTGACCTGAGATATTATGTGTTCACCACTACTCTAAAGCATTTTTAAAATACTAATTACAAATGTTTATGTCTGCCTCAGGAAAAAAAAATCAAACAAGAAATCCTGAGTTTTCTTCTATTCCTCCCGTGCTGGGTTGGCAGAGATGCAGAAAATCGGGTGGGGGTGGGAATCAACTCAGTCGTTTTGAAGTATGAAGGGTTGATATAAAATTCCTTGGTTTTGATTTGCTGTTCTTTAACAGCACAGGGTTTATTTGCTAATATTTTACTTAGGATCTTTGCAACTATGTTTGTAAGTGAGGTTAGTACATGTCACAAATTCTATAGTTGAACGAGGTGAGGATATAAAAAAAAATATTGTGAAAATTAAACTGACTCCCTTCAAGGTATATTAATTAGATTAAATGTGATTTGTGTTTATGTCACAGGGAACAATGAATCTCTGAAAACAGACATGGAGATTGAGGTGAACTTTTGAAAATGAAAATCACCATGATATTATACTGAATAATATCTATAATCTGTACAGACACTTTGGCTCAATCTATCAAAAATAGAAATGAACATTCCACAATCTTTTATTTCATGGTGTGTTAGGTATGTGAGAGATGATATCTGAGTTTGACAAATGGTTTGTAACATGTTTGAGAATGTTAGGAATTTAGAAAAGTCCACCTACAATAATGTTATCCAAAGGTTTAAAGGGTGGGGCAAAAGTAGGTTTATAGTTGTGAGTACACAAAACAGTTTATTTTTGTATTATTATTTGTTAATTATTATTATTTAAAATTTTTTTCTTTTTTATTGACTTTAGAGAGAGAGGAAGGGAGAAGGGGAGAGAGAGAGAAACATTGATGAGAGAGAACATCAATTGGCCGCCTCCTGCATGCCCCCCACTGGGGAGTGGGCCCACAACCTGGGCATGCGCCCTGACCGGGAATCGAACTGGCGACCTCCTGGTGCCTGGGTCAATGCTCAACCACTGAGCCACACTGGCTGGGCAATTTGTTTATTATTGTATTATTTTTTATTTACTTATTTATTTTTTAACCTCACCTGAGGACATTTTTCCATTTTTTGTTCAGACAGAGCGGGAGGGAGAGAGGAAGAGAGAGAGAGAGAGAGAAACATTGATGTGAAGGGACACATCGAGTGGCTGCCACCCACAGGACCAACCAGGGCCGGGGACAAACTGCAACCGAGGTACGTGCCCTTAGCGGGAACCGAACCCGGGTCTCTCTGTACCGCAGGCCGACGCTCCAACCGCTGAACCAAACCGGCCAGGGCATATTATTGTATTATTTTTCATACAAACAACTGTAAACCTACTTTTGCCCCACCCTGTGTATGCTACATATGAAACTTCCTTAAAAGAAACATCTCTAAAATGTTTCCTATTCACTCATTCAATTTCTTAACAAAATCTGGAGATGTTTCCTGAGGATAGGAGCAGAAAGAGAGGAGAGTTAAACTCACAGGAAATTCAATCATCACAATGCAGTGACTTTAAAAAATTACTAGTTTAGCAGAATATTTCTCTGATAAATTATTAATATTCAGAATAATTTGAAACAATGGAATGGTTAATAGAAAATACAAAAATCCTTGTTCCTCAAGATAGAGAATGATACAAGCTCTGGTGGGATCTAAACAGGAATCCTTGCTGGTAATAAAAGGCCTCTAGGCAGAAACCAGCTTCAGTTTTCACTTTGGTGCAATCAACAGTCCCTTGGTACAGGAAAGAGAACAATGCAAGTTGATGAATAGAATACTCTGCACCCCAAACATACTCCTATTCCATTTCCAGCTCTTGAGAAAATGAATTCCCATTGTTTGACAAAATTCTTAAAGTTAACATTTTCACAAAGTAAGAGATTCTAGAAATGGACATTCTGATTTATATGGAGGAGGGAGAAAATCAGGAAATTCAACCACACGTGGAAATGAGCCAACCAAAGATCAGTGGAGAGCAATAGTCAATATTTTTGTCAGAAAATTAATGTCAAATAAGTTCAATGATTTGTTATCCAGTTCCATGTAAACTATATATACTTCCATGCACTATTTTTTAATAAGACTCAGTTTCATATTGAAGTGGGTGAATAAAAGGTGATGCTACTGAGATAGAAATGGAATGAAATGAATATAATTCTAGTGTCCTACCTAAAAAGACTGTCGTGTATGGATTTATACATTAGATAAATAAGTGATTGACTTGCAAAAGGATATTTTATTATACGATGTTTGCCAGCTAATTTTAAGGTGTGTTCCTTCTACCCTTAGTACAATTCAATTTAGATTACTTTCAGCAATAGATTGTTTGGTAGATTAAAGCACGTCTGAATTACCAGTCAGCCTCATGCTGTCTCAAGGGACCTTCATGCATGGACAGCTTGGCAATTAATGAAGAGCACCAGAGAATGGAGGAAGGTTTGCTTTTCTGATTTTAATCCTTGGCTCCCTTTTCTGTCTTTCAACCACTGTAATCTAAGAACACTAGAGTTGGTTTCTCCCATCAACAAATGCAATTCAGAGGCCGAAAGCCCACTGGTTCCAATACGAGAAAAAAAATTTTTTTTATTATAAAAACAATGCATGATTGTCATTTAAAATTAGAGAAAGTTTAGAGACAGTCAAATGAAAAT